AAGGGTTAACCCCCTGTAAAGTTTGTTTTGTTGTGTGTGCTCCTGTTCAGAAGATTTCACCTCCCTTTCTATCCCTGTGACAATTGGATTTTGAAAATTTCGGGTTTAGCTACAGTGGAGACACCTTTTTCCCTTGATAACTCTTACAGGAGTGGATTTCCCTTCCTAGGGGTAGATTTCCTCTCACTACCGGTTGTCTCAAGGACAGGAAGTGAGATTAAATATTTCTAATGAGGATACAGACAGCAGTAAAAACCACACAGTGACCTGGAAGAAGAGGTGGGCACCCCTCATCTGCACGTCTAACAAGAGCCATCTTCCTGTAATGCACGTACAGCACTACGAACCAGACCCAAAAAGGTGCGCACTCCTCGTCGGCATGAGCACGGTAGCATTACAACTACCCCTGCTGTACAGTAATAGCCTCCGTTTGTAATAAGGAGTCGGATGTAAGTAGGATGTATGTAAGTCGGGGACTGCCTGAAGTGTGCAATCCCCCGCCCCCCCCGCTAGCTCTCCCCATCATATATATCGAGTAATTTTGGATATCAGAGCAATATATAATCACAGCATTATCATTATTACTTTGTTGATAGTGCAACCGCTCTTACTCTTTTTTAGTAAAACATTATTTTTAATGTGTGAATCTAGTGCCAACAGAAATCATAGTAAAGGGACTATGTATGTTTGTGGTTAGTACCGTCTGGTACTGTTTACTTACCAGCCAGAAAGGATGTGTTATCTTATATGCCAATCTGTGGATCAGTAACTGAACTATGATTTGCAATTCATAGTTTCTGCCTGTTTCCCTCAGCTAACCATTATCCTTTATATAATTTAAACTTCCTTGTGGTTGCTCTGATAGTATCTATCTATACAGTAAAAAGAGATATTACACAACATGAGTGTTCCTCATCCTTAGGTTGAAGAATCTGATGCTGTAGGAGAAGATGATAATGAACCGATGATAGAAGGCAACAAATCAAGCTGTAGCCACAGGTATGTTATAATAACACTGAATCGGTTTTATGACTATCACAGGGTATTGGCATTGGCAAAAACGGTCTATTGACCTGCATGTCTCAGAATGGGTCAATCACATTGCTGGACGACTATAGCAGACTGCAATCTTTGCCCTAATTTAGCTGATATTTGGAAGTAGCACACATACTCTAATAGGCTTCTCTCCCTTTGTCCACAGAGAAGGGAACAATTGCTGTCCAGTAGCCCTACATAGCCCTGTAATTGTTTGATCATCAAGCAATGCTCAGATCCTTCATACCACTGGCAAATACTGGGATGGAAACCCAAAGGATGAACAAAAATGAGGAACACAATGTAAATAATCTTATTTATTTTTACTTTTTGCCTATAAAGAACAATATAAAAAATCTGAAAAAAGTAACAAAATATTCATAGGAAATGACATAATAAATATGCATATTTTTCTGTACAGCCCGAAGCTAGCAACATATATTATGATCATGACATCTAGGCAATACAGATTTTAATGAAGTCCATAGCAGTCCACAGGCTTGGGTAGCATTACTAACATTCTTAGTAAATATTTAAGTTGATAGTAAGGAAGCCTACAGGTTACCATTTAAAAAGCAAACATAATTTGTGCATACTGACAACCTTTTGCCCCCTCTCCCACCCATATTGTTATACTTGTGTGCTTTGTGTCTAAAACATTAGCAATATAGTAAAAAAAAAAAGTGAAATGATAACAGGTTCATTAAAGGAGAACTATGGGGTTAAGGCTTTTCCTCATAGTTCTCCTTAGGGTAACGGGAGGACACAAACTAGCGTCCTCCCGTCACCCTAGGCTCAGTATACCGCGAGCTGTAGCTCGTGGCATACTGAGACGCCGCAGTATGCCGCGAGCTGTTGCTCGCGGTATACTGAGACGCTGCAGCTGAAGCGGATCCCGACAATTATGTCTGGATCCGCCCAGCTGCGTGACTGACAGCTGGCTCTGCCTATCTAGAGGCAGAGCCCGCTGTACCCGCCCCCTCCATTCCGCCAGTCAGCGCTGGTAGATCGGAGCGGGGAGGAGGGAATCCAGCCCCTCCCCTGTCACGGCAGAGAGCCGTGACAGGATCGATAGGTGAGCGAACGCCGGTATGTGTTCGCTCACCTCCCGATCTACTAAGCCGACCTGTCTCATTGTCACAGGTCGGCTAGAACTATGAGGTGAGTGAAAAGTTCTCTTTTAAGTAATATGTCTACTATGAACATGTAAATGTTAATCATAAATTGGCAAAAGTAACCTGTATATTGCATGTAGACAGTTGGTCATAATCCATGTGGGTGGTTTGTTTTTAATTAAAAAGACTCATTCAATAAACAGTGCAAAGAGCAAAGAACTAAACCTTAGAATTCCCTTAACTGGAGTCAGTCCAGTACATGGTGGATTCTGATTGGTTGTTAGTGATACAACACTTTGTAATTAGAACATAGCTTCTTGCACTGTTTAACTGAATAAGCCAAAAAAGTCTACAACAAAGCAATACATTCAGTACACAGAGCAAAGGAATTCAAATATTGTTACGTGTTTTTCTGAAGCGTGGCCAAATGGATGATAGATAGGAAACAATTATGCTAAAGCAACAGTGTATTTCCCCCATTTTTACAAATGCTGAATTGTAGCATTTTCTCTGTATTCATACATTTAATGGGAAGAACATGGAAGAAGCATTTTCTCTGTATTTATACATTTAATGGGAAGAATATGGAAGTCTGCTATTAATTTGAATAAAATAAATAAACTGATGGCTTTTTACACCATTCAGCACTAAAATTATCATGCTTTTTTCACATTGTGGAGTCTTTACACTATTATGACCCTTTTACAGGGAAACAAATTAGCAGACTTTTTAAGTAAGGAAACACAAAGTGCAAATGTCCAAACAAGAATAATCCACAGCAACTAATCAGAAATGACTTCTTAGCTGATGCAACTGCACTAAACTGTTATCAGACTGGTTACTATGGGTTACTGCACTTTGTACAGTATCCTTTTGCATTGCCTCACTCCATAAGTCTGGGGTTGTGTAAAATATTACCTGGAGATGATGCATATAAGAGCCAGTCATAATCTGGTAGACATTTTATTATTGCAGATCAGAAAATGAAAGGAGATACAGCTGAACAGCTGATGATCTCCAGCTTTTATCCAGCAGGTCCAGTAGACTTGTGTTATAGCTTCTATTCTATTCTAGTTTCTATTCCATACTATAAACACACACATATTATCGGTAAGGCACTTAAAGTGAACCTATAACAACTTATATTGTAACCAAATGCCATCTTCCAGATAACTGAAGACATAATCTATTTTCTTTCAAAGTGTCTTGGAAACTGGAAACCAGATTTCACCTAGAATGCTGGCATTTTGGCTTTCCCACTCCCCACATTGGCCCATCACTATAATTTGGAGCAATACTGACCAACTGTGGGGGATAGGAGAAGGAAGGAGGGTCAGGGCACCATGCCAACATCCCAGCTAAGATAGTTATTTGCATAATAGAGCACTTTGGGTTTTTTGGGACTGCCTGGAAGCTTTTAGAAGTGTGAAGGTGCGTTTGCTATTAGATTTGGCAGGCACTTTATTGTTGTGCAAGTCATGACAGGTTCACTCTGAAAGCAAATTTCTGCTCTCTCTAACAGTAATATAAATGAGAAACAAAAGGTTTTTGATGCAATCACCTGGCACAAGCTCACAAGGAAATCCTACATTTCCAGGCCTATTTATGGCAAAGCCCAGTAAGCCAGCAACCAGTCAAACTGTATCTCTCATATCATCGCACTGCGCACTTTAGCCTAGCTTTTTGCACTACTGAATAAGTTGAGTAGAACGCTACCCTGCATAGAATCCAATGACAGCAGGACATTTTAAATCTTGTCTCCTGCCTTAGGGTTGTGTCAACAGGCTTTATGTTAAATGGCTTCTGCATTATCATACAAGTCTATGGGTATGCAAAACCAGCAGGTCAGAAAGTGGTCAACTGCAGGTCAAATGCTCAAGTAAGTGAATTCTAAATGATCTAAGAAGCATTTCAAACTGATATCAAACTGATGCCATTGACAGAAGTCCAACGGCCTCAACACAAGCCCTTAATCTCACCATTTTCAGCAACATCACCTTCATCTTTCCAAGGCTTAACTCTTCAGAAAACTGGTTAATGGAATCAGTAAAATATTGTATTTTATCGTGATGAAATTACAATTTAAATGTTTAAAATAAGACCTATATTTCAGGATAATGTTAAATATATGACAGTGATGTGATTTTTTTTCTTGCGCACCTTTAGCTATACCTAAAGGATTAAGCGGTAATCTTCTACATGTATGATGATAATTAATAGTATATAGTATATTACTGATGCTTCTGCCATACCATGTTCCCTACAATCTTAATAGTCACACTTTATTGCTGGCTTTAGCTTGATTTGTTGATGACAAAGAGGTTCCACTGCATACAAATTGAGAGGAAAACCAAAATATTCTAAAAGAAATTTTGACTTAATGCTAAAATTGGATCCATTCTGTAGATATCTCTGCAAAGCAGAAAAGATTGTGTTTGTTGCTTATGGGTGAGGGATCCAAAGGAGTTACTGGAAGACAGGGAACAAAGGCAGTAAAACTAGTCTATTCACAGAGTCAATTTGCCCCAAACTGAAGTCTAATGTTGGATTGAAGCAAGTTAAACAACTCAACATTTTCACAGCTGTTGAATTCCAAGACACACCTAGGTTAAAAATAGACTATTTATGTACTGGTTTCTCTTTATAAATAAAGAATTTTAACATAACATTAAAAAAATTTAATAAAAATGGGGTCTTTCTCTAACAGAAGTCGTGTGACTGCTCAGTGAGGTAGAGCAGAGCCAGGAACACCAGCAGCAAAGTGTTGTCACTGGATTCACCAAGGAGCCCTACACCTTGCAATTTCAATATTGGATGGACCTAGTCTTCAAAGTGGAAAATCCCTTTAAAATATTTAAAACATTGGAATATTACTCTAAGCTCGAGTAAGAAGTAATGCTTTTCATTAAGGTAAATGACTGCATGAAAGCTTTAAAAATTAACAAGATTATCTTCAAAAATAATGTGTGGAGCAAGCTAGCAATACAAACCAGGCAAGCAGGGCCAGTTTTGTTTTTGGCATATAAATAATAACAGTCAAAAATATTCAAGTTTCCCTAATAAACTGAAACATTTTCATCATGGCTGTGGAAAACACAAGTAATATGTGTCGTTATTCAATCTAATATAGATTGCTTATTGTCCCCAAAATAGCCAAATGACGTCCATCAAGAGAACATATTTTGTAATTATTGGCTAGTCCACAGAATTCATAGTACAGAGAGGTCATGGCAAGACTTGGACTTCAGCTTAAAAGCCATGTTTTTGTTTTTCTTGGCCACAATTTTTCCCCAGAACCTTCTAGCTTTCTTTGGAATGCTCTCCCTCCTCTGCTGGTAGGCAAGCCTTTTTTCGTTTTTCTCTTTGCTGTCCCTCCTCAGACGCACCTGCCTCACAATTCCCTCAAACAGTTCCTTCACGTTGTGCTGAACAGCTGCTGAAGTCTCAATGAATTTGCAGTCAAATACTACGGCACAAGCTCTTCCCTCTGTGAACAGAAATTCAAATCTAAGTATTAATATAATATGAAAATGTGAGACAATTATAATGTTCAAAGTCATCCATAAGGCCCAGAAGCTTTAATAAGAGGAACAAGAAATATGAAAATATTCCTATGCTCCTTGGCTCCATCTGGCCATAATGTGGTGTGAATCTAAAAGTCAGATGTTGTGAAGCAAACGGCTCTGCAAACATTTTATAAATACCCCATAATGTGCCTTTTAAAAGTTAGTTCAAGAAGATGCAACCAATAACAAATGATTACTTAAAATGAATAATGTGAGGGTGCTTGTTTATAAAGGCCAGTGTTGGCTATGTACCTGATATGGAAACTTCTCTACATCGAACCAAGTCACTTTTGTTCCCAACCAGTATAATAGGAATATCTTCTGTCTGCCGTGCCCGACGTAGCTGTATACGTAACTCGGAGGCCTTCTCAAAGCTTGCTCTGTCCGTGATGGAATATACTATTAAATAAGCATCTCCCACTTGCATACAGTGATTGTAGATCCAGTTATCCTGACTCTGTAAACAAAAAAAATACAACCATGAAGTATTTTTCCCTTTTCTTACCTTGTGTTTCACTAAAAAGAGAACTGTTTCTTCAGTCTGTTTTTACAATGGACTGTAAGACAAACTTCATTGCTACTTCCTTGATATAGACATGCTTTCTGGAAACTTGGAGACATGGAGGGGCATAAAGGAAACTCACTATGGGAAATACAGAGGCTGCCATTACAATACAGAGGCTGCCATTGAACCTGTAAACTGGGACAAACATACTAAAGAAAAAGAAAGGAAATCCTAATGCCTATAACCTGATATTATGTAATATAGCCAGACATATTTATCTTGATAGCCCCAGTTAATTGAAACTTTAGAATGTAGCACCTACCAATGCTAACCTCTCCTTCAGGAAACATTACTTGATAGGCTGTTATTCTGATCCCATGGCTTTGATTTACCAAAGGCAAATAGATTCTTCACTTTGCAAGGAAATTTTCCATTAGCTTAGTGAATGATGACTTTCAGCATTCAATCTTGTACAAGCAAAAATAATTTTCCCTTGCATGTGATTAGATATCCTTTGCAAAGTAAATTTTCAGCACATTCACTAAGCTAAGCAAAATTTCCCTTGTAAAGTGAACAGCCTAATTGCCTTTTGTAAAACAACCCAATGGCTTCAATGCTTTCTGAACCGTTGACCAAATATAAGTATGCAGATCACAAGTTCTGACTTTACTGCAATGTCCTGCTCTGCATGCTTGTTCTGGTCAGTGACTTAGTGAGTACTGAAGTCTGAGACAGCCAGGCACACACCATTTTTAGGAGGTCAGCAATAGTGGCATCCCTTATTTCTCCCAGTACATTTCCCTATTAAAATGGTCCTACATTCTGACAACAAGCAGTTCTCTAAAGGCGGCTAAACACCAGTAGAATCTGGTTTTTAAAAAAAACATTCGGAAAATTGGTAAGATTTTCTATTAGTTCATGGGGTCAAATTGATAATTATTTTCTACCTTAATGATGTAAAAAAATTGAAGGAGTAGGGTGGAAATGTTTTCTCGAATGAATGAACAAAACGTGAATGTGGTCTTCATTCTGGAAACTGCTTTCATTCCAAACTTGAATGTTAAAATCTAGTTTTCGTATGAATGTTTATACCAAAAATTACCAGTGTATGGCCAGCTTTACTCTTGGTTAATAAATGCCAATATTTTTACTACCGTATTTGCCGGCATAAAAGGCGACTGGGTGTATAAGACGACCCCCTAATTTTCCACTTAAAACATAGGTTTTGGGCTATACTCGTCATATAAGACTACCCCACTTCCGAGGCAACACCATTTAAAAACATCATGGATGGATGTGCGGTAATACTGTATGTAAGGTAGCTTCGGCTACATACAGTATACCGCGCTGAGCCAATCACGGCGAGCGATGTATTCTATTAATGAATACAAAGCCTGCTTGGATTGGCAGAGGTTGTGTACATACTGCTCGCTGTGATTGGCTCAGCGCGGTATACTGTATGTAGCCGAAGCTACCTTACATACAGTATTACCGCACATCCAGCGGGCTGACAGATTAGGGATATTCATTTTGGGCCAGCTCGGCCCAAACAAACTAAAGGTATACATTGTATACCACGCGTATAAGACGATTTTCGAGGGATGTTTTTAAGTATAAAAAGTAGTCTTATACGCCAGCAAATACAGTATCTGCCCATAGTAGCTGCTTTTGCTATGCAGATATCAAAGAAAACCTGTGATGAGGTACCTACAGGGCTTGCTGACCAAAGATGTGAGTTGCCTGGCTGTTATGCTGATCCCCTTTTCTTCATTATTTTCTGTGTCACCTAAAACAAGTTTGCAGGTCAGAGAAGTCAGGTGTCTATATCGGCATACTTGTTCTAGGCCACTGACTCATAACATTGAAGCTAACCAGTAATATGACATAATATGCTGACTAGGATCTCCTATGATTGGTTTCCTCTAATACATTTTATTTTTTATAGTAATCCTTCTTCTAAAAAACCTTTGGTCTTATTAAAGAAAAGCCAAAATGCCAAGTACAGTAACCCATTCAAAAATAATTGTCTAGGGCTGTATTCATCACATCTCAACTTGAAATCTAATTGATTACTATGAACAATGGTAAGTTGCAAACCACAAATATTTTTGTGCGCTTCGGTGTTTAAAAAGTATTTCTGCAAAAATCATGCAATAAATGAAGATATTATCTGTGAGAACAATACCTTATTTTCCCACATGTCAAGAAGTATAAGTGTGGCGCTCTCTCCATCCACTATCAGGGTCCTCTCATATGTGTTCTCTTAAAAAAAAGAAAAGAAAGAAATAAATCATTGCATGTTAGCAGCTCGGATCCTTTTAAATACTGAATATGGCCATTGTGTTCTGGAATTCAAAAGTTATATTTATTTTGCAATGTAAATCAAATATATGTCACTTTTAATAGGAAGGACAATTTATTTTTCACACTTGTCAAGTTTAACATAAGTAATTGTAAGCTTCATGTGTGCATTTATTATATATACAGTATATAGTACATTTTTACTACTGCTCATTACATTTTGCTTATATAGTCACGCCAGATGAACACAATTGATTGATGTGCTTGTGGAGTGCAAATTTGTCATCTGCAGTTGTCATCACAGCAATATATCACATAATAAGGGACATATATGGCCTTATTTAGTAAAAAATGCCAATGAAAAAAAATTTACTAAATCACATCCCTAATCCCCTAAGTGACGGAATCACAGTGAATGCTGTTTCCTTGCTGTTTATGTCTGATACATTTACCTAAAGTGCATCTAAAGGACAACCTTTTTTTTATTTATTATTATTTGGATAGAGGTATGATCAGTTGGAACCTCTATCAGGTTTTTATTGCTGTCTGTGTCCTAGTTGGGGAGATTCACTCCTCCATTTGTCCTGGTGGTCATAGTTGTCACTAGGGATGCACCAATACTGGTTTTTCGGTATCGAGTATGAATACAGATACTGGATACCGAATACAGATACCTGATATCCCATTAAGGAAGCAAGGCAGCGAGTAATGACTCATTACCTGCCTTCCTGGTTAGTCGGGAAGCCGAGCGGCGTGTAAAGACTCGCCACCCGGCTTCCCGATTAGCCATTTCCATGCTTCCCTGTCACCAGGTGATGAGGAAGCATGGAGCTGGCTTTCTGGCCAATCAGGAAGCCGGGCAGTGTGTAATGACTTGCTGCCCGGCTTCCTGATACCAGAAGTTCGGGTATCCGGCGAGTACGATTACTTGCCCAAAGACTCGGTATCGGTAGCGATACCGATACTAGTATCGATGCATCCCTAGTTGTCACTAAGACTGAAAGTAAGGGAAAATCCAAAATGTTAGGTTGTCACCAAAACAAGACTCTTAGATAACAGTCCCACCAGCTGGCCCTTTTTTTGATCAAATTGGGCAGGGATCCAATGTCGTTGGGGCAACACATGACACCCCCGTAGGCGCTCTCGGGGAACAAAATGATCAGGTCGATTTGAAAAGCTTCCCTGATCACTGTTGATTTTACCTTGTTCCTATATTGTATCAAACAGGAACAAACGTGTGACAGGTGTACTTCGGTTTAGGGGAAAAACTGGTATAGGTAATAATGTGAAATAAATTCTATGTGCATGTATATTTGACTATGGCCAGCTTTAAGAATAGGATCTCCGTTCTTTCACCACAAGGCCTGGGAGAGCTCTGACTACCCTGACAAAAGCACTTGACAATGGCGGACTGTTTGTGGCACAAGCCCTATGCATCTGTTTGACAAGTGCCTTAGTTGGGGTATGAATGAGCAGCCAAGGCAATCTCAGTGAGAACAGAGTTATTTTGTTACATCCATTAATTTTTTTCAAGTATTTATATAGACCCAACAATTTACAACAGGAGCCAATTATCATACCATTACCAACTAGAACACATGAGAGGAAACCATTACAAGCACAGGCAGAACATGCAAACTCAAGGCAGGGGGGAGACCTGGTTGGGATTTTAACCAAGGACCTTAGTGCTGTAAAGTAGGAGTGCTAACCACTAAGGCACTGTAATGAAAGCTATTAGAACCTTATACACCAACACTGTGCAATTAGAAAGGCATGCAGGAATTCCAGCAACTGGCATATATTGGAGTTTATGATTTGATAATGATCTGAGTGACTGTCATTGCGATGTTGGATGTGGTACCGACTCAAACTGGGGTATTCAGCTGCCTTGAGTACCGTTGGGCTTCTGGCATGTTGTTTTACCTTTAAGGAGGAGATGGCGGCCTCTAATTACCCTGCTCTTATTATATCCATTGCTATATACACTAATCAGCCATAATATTATAACCACTGACAGGTGAAGTGAATAACATTGATTATCTTGTTACAATATCACCTGGAAGTGGTGGGAAATATTAGGCAGCAAGTGAAAATTTCTTCCCTGAAGTTGATGTGTTGGGATCAGAAAAAATAGGCAAGTGTAAGGATTTTAGCGACTTTGACAAGGTCCAAATTGTTATGGCTGGATAACTGGGTCAGAGCAACTCCAAAACTGCAGCTCTTGTTGGATGTTCCCAGTCTGCAGTGGTCAGGACCAACTAAAAGTGGTCCAAGGAAGTAAAACTGGTGAACCAGCAACAGGGTCATATGTGGCCAAGGCTCATAACTGCACATAGGGAGCCAAGGCAGGCCCATGTTGTCCAATCTACTAGAATAGTTCCTGTATCTCAAATGGCTTGGTGCCAAGTATCACAGCATACATTCGGAGGTCTAGTGGAGTCAATGGGGGTGATTTACTAACCTAAACACACGCACGCCCTAGGTGCGTGTGATTTTTACACAGCAAAACATATTTATCAACCAAAGAGTCTCTAAAAGCATATTCCCACTAATGCCATACATGGAAAAATCATGCACATGATGCATATATAATGCTGCTTCACAGTTTAGACAAAAATGGTTAGCTCATGCATTTACATTCCTGCATTCATCAACGCAAGCAACACAACATAGAGCTAATTTACACAACATCACCTTGCAATTCATGCAGGGCTTTGCACAACATACCTGCTGGGTGTGTACACACTACAAAGGTGTTTAGATTCCACCCATAGTTCATGCTGGGAGGGAACACACTACAGAGGTGTATACATGTTCGTGGTGAGTTTATAAGGTTAGTAAATCAACCCCAATGCCTCAATGGGTCAGGGCGGTTTTGGTGGGGAACTTACTCAATATTAGGTGGATGGATTATACCTTGATGAAGCAGTGTGGCTTCTACATGTATACAACAAAAGAAAAGGTTTGTAACCTGAGATTCTGAACATTCTACTAGGATTTTTAATTCTGACTAGTTGGAGAATTTTTGTATGACCTTATATGACAATGCAATGCAAAAACCAGTGATGTGATATAACTCACAGGAACCGATCACTACTCTGACTACAGTAAATGTAACAGCTTATGTTTTATGACTTGCTGTCACTTGGTATTATATTATCAAATATCCCCAAAATCGAATAGTCACCTCTAAACCCAATCTTATAGCCTTCTATAAACTTTTTCATGTGCCCTATCAGCCTTATAAATACCCCTGTCCCTACCAGACTCTCTCTCTAGAGGAATGCTCTTTTTTCCACAACACCCCAGCTGCAAAGCTCCTGTGAGTTTTAAAGAACATTTTCCACATCTTCTAGAAATTAATCCAGCACATGGAATAAAACATCATGATGAAGATTTGCAAAGTCTCCTACTGTGGACTGTGATAAACTCCAGATTTGTTCTGTAATGGAAAATACTCGCTCACAGCGCAGTTAACAAGCCAAACAAATGTTAATGCACAGTGTAGCTGTATCTAGGGTAAAGGGAATGTATAACGCTTTTCTTGCCTGACTTAAAACAAAATTAAAACGTAAAACTTTTTTTTCATTTCTAGTCAGGAAAATATCAAATATTATATATGAATAGTTCAGATTTAGGGTTTCCTGCTAGAAGGAGCTCTAGGCTCCTTTTCATATATTTACCAAGCTTATATTAACTGCTGAAGTTTTTAAGTTAACCACATCTTGGTTACTGAGTGTTTTTTTATATCTAAAATACATTTCTACACAATTTTAAGGAAAAATTAAAGTTGTTAAATTTCATGTTCGAGATATACAAGGGGAAAGGAAGGTTTGTTCAGGTGTAAACCACATAGAATATGGCGATGGGGGGTCCCCTGTTTTCATCTATTAACAAGAAATACAGTTTTCCCCAAAAGGGGATCCCACCATTCCTTTAAAGTATGAAAAAATATATATTTTTTATATATAAAAATATATTTATTATCGAAATATTAAAATGTATGACAAGTATATCAAAAATATATAAAAAAAAATCACAAACAATATAAACCGACATATATATGGCTGCATTCTGTTAGTAATTCTATGCAATGCTGTGGAAAACGATGTTAAAGCATACCCCGGAAAAACCTGATTTATTTCATGTATACTACTAATCCCTGATATATTCAAAATCGTTAATTCGGGAAATAGTGTCCATATTTCTGGAGAACAGAGCTCTGTATTTCAAAATTAGACATGCATGTGTGTGGACAATTTCATGTTCAGTTGCTGTCTGATCCAAACAGTGATACATGATAAGATGAAATCCTAAAATGATATTTGATACAATGCACACAAATATACAATATACAAATAGCTACTATTTTTTTCAGTCTAAAATAAAAGAATGAAAAATTGTGATTGGAAATAAATTGCACATAATCACATTCTTTATTTTTGTCATAGATCCGCACATGAGCAGATCTGGTCACCCAATTAGCTTGGTTGGCTGAGCAATGCAAATTACTGAATTGCAAGGGTTTCCCAAAGCGCAATCATTGCAATAGAATTAAATACTGTTTGCATAAATCAGGCCGTTTTAAAACTGAATATCTGAAATATCATTTTGTATGGACTTAAAAAGCAGAGCTGCTTGAAGCTGCTAAATCTTTTTTTCTACAGTACTGGCATTAGAAACCCATCAAAAATCATTGGTATTGTGAGTGTGTAGCTGGGTTGGGGTAAAAAAGGCAGAGCACACGAGCAACCGTAGAACTGTGCTGACAGATACCAGAAACAGCTGATTGATGGGGATATTAGTGACTCAGACCATACTAATCAGAAGACAAATGGAGGGAATTTTCCACTTTCCTGATGTGTTCACCATGAAAACCAGAGTGCTGTGGTCAGTTTATCAAAATAAAACGTAATATAAATACATACTGCAAACTGACTCTTCAACAAATGTTAAAAAGGCCAGAAAATGGGGGCTATATACTGAAGTGTTGATCTAACATTACACAGATGATCCACTTTAAAAAAAAATATTGCAGAATGGAAAAATCTTTAAAAACTTGGAACTGTTCCTAAAAAGAAAGTTGGCTAGAAACTATAAATTTGTATTATAAGTTGAGCTATGATTCGGTAATGCACACCACTCTTGCCAACCAGTGCAGCAGAATATGATGAATAAATCTGAAAATAAAATACCGGTAGTTCAGTAAAAGAGGTATTGGGATAAAGTGGAATTGTCACACATGCTCCAGCTTTCCGTTTTTAGAGCACAATTAAAACTTGCGCACCAGCTATTTAGAAAAAATATACCATTTAATGCTGAGAATGGGAGCAGGTGAGTCAATACTCTGAAGCTGGCCATACACCTTACAATTATCTGCAGATTTTCTGTGGTCAGATGGAAAAGGTGGAACAGATTCCTCCATCTACACTTAACTGTGTGGATGGAGTAATCTCCACCTGGGCCAAGCTTCAGTATCTTGTTAGTCTGCCCCGCTGGCTCCCAAAATACCTGAACAGTCTGATTGGATACAGGCATTGTTCAGGTGTTTTAAGAGCCAGCGGGGCTGACTAGCAAGATACTGAAGCTTGGCCCAGTGGGAGATTCCTCTATCCACGCAGTTTAGCGTGGATGGAGGAATCTGTTGCACTTTTTCCATTTGACCAGAGAAAATCTACAGATAATTGTAAGGTGTATGGCCAACTCGAGTCTAAGCCAATCAGGCTCTGTTGCATACACATGTGCTGCATCTGCCACAGACAATGCCTATCTATTTTCTTTTTATCCTATTTAAATAAATCCCTTGTAAACAGCTGTAGCGCCCTCTAAAATGTCGCTATTCAATTTAGAGATACCTGGACTGTAACCAGTCTAGATACTGATTATACAGAGCTCTGCATTCTATAGGTGTCCCTGAGTCTGCTGGATCGATTGCTCCTCCTGTTGCTGAGGAAAAGGGAGCCTTGGCATACAGTGAGGGAGGATCCACCCTCAGGTTATGACTATGCACCTGGCCCTAGCCAATCCCTGAGTAGGATGACTCAGAGGCATGGTTGAGGGCAGGTAATAAAAGGTCTGGGGACATTGTGGAGAGCTCTCTTCCCCCTAGGGGCCTTGCCCTAGGAGGACTGTGTGTGATGCAGAGCAAATGGCCTGGGCCTCAGCACATGGCAGGTGCTGAGGGGCCTGGAGGCCTAAGGATACACTGATACTTCACTGGGCCCATACACGTGGCAGGTGTTGGGTGCCTTGTTCTAAGAAGATACTCTCATTTAACTGGAGTGCTCCTTGGCAGTTGCAGATGCTGAGGGCACAGAAGTTCCAGATCCTAAAGAGGAAAATACCTGATGGAAGCTGGGTCAGAGGAGGAGTCCGTTTGTTGAGGGGTACCGCAGAAGAGCTGGTGCGAGCGTCTGTCTGGGTCCCACAAGGGAGAGCCCTCACCCATTCCAGGTATTCGGTTCACAGTATTACTACTACTACTACCACTATTGGTCCTTGGGACCAGATCGCAGTGATTTCGGCCTTACCGGTTGCTAGGGGAGAAAGCTGTCCTCAGAAGATTCCAATGGCATCCTACAGACCCTAAACCCTCTCTCTCCAATTGATGTTGCAAATAAATACCCTAAAAAGACCCTAAGACTCGAGCCGTTCTGTCCGTGAGTGTCGGTGTCCTGTTGCTGATCAAAGGGGACCGGTAGCTGGAACCAACAGGTAGGAGAACCTATTTCAATATTCAGCGGCTCCTTCGGGGGTGAGCGCTACACAGCATTTGAACAAGCATAACTTTATTCAGTCTGATCTGGCTAACTTACCCCCTAGCATGTCACTGTCCAGAGAATCGGGCACTCCTGCAAATATACTGGCCAGTGTAGACTTGCCGACGCCATGCTCTCCGATAACAACCACACGGTAGTAGGTATTCCCAGATTCTGAGGAGATGACGGAATCTGAAGAGTCTGAGGACCAGCTGCACCTGTAGTATTCCTCCGGCCTCACTGAGTGATGAATGGTGTGGTTGCGATTGAGGTGCACGTTGGGGTTCTTTTGTACATGAATATTCTTCCCATCAGCGGGGATACTCCAACGCTGCTGGCTCTGCACCGCTGTGCTGCTACTGCGCCGCATAGTCACATTGAGGGTCATTGTGACTTCCCTATGGATAGAAGAGACAAAGAATGAGCTAACAACACGAATACATTAAAATTTGTTCAGGACGGGATAACATTTTTATTCAGGAGGACATCTATGGAGTATAAATAAAGATAGATAGATAGATAGATAGATAGATAGATAGATAGATAGATAGATAGATAGATAGATACTATAGGAGAGAAAAAAGAGAGAGAGATATGGTGGAGGGGTCAGGCTTCTTTTAACTGAATTAAAGCTGAATGTTGGTGAGCTTTGTGCATTTCCTCCAGATTTGTGCAGTTATCCAGTGTTAAATGTTGCCTTTGTGTAGGAGTTTCCTGTAATAAAGACCAGTCACTGCTGCTTTCTCTCCTTGTGCAGGGTGACTGGTCTTGTCTCTGCCCCATCCTGTAGTTCTCTGCAGGCAGCCTGTAATGGGTGGGGCCTGCTGGGCCCCTCCCACAGCTCTGCCCTCTGCATTGGCTTTGTTCAGTGAAGATGTTACCACTATCTTTACAGAGTAATAGGTGAATTTGCAAAGACATTTGGTGCACATAACGCTGAATTATATATTATATTAAATTGTATATGTAATAATATTTTTTTAGTTTCATGCATATTAAAATTAAACATCAATTTTGCATTATTTGAGTCTCTTGAATAATGCTTTTCCCATCTAGTAACTGTGATTCATGTGTCATCAGCTAGTTTATCAGCATATCTGAGGGTATATCCACTTGGATCTGCTGTTACTGCTTAAATCTGCCATCACCACCCATAGCTGCTATTATTGCTAGGATCTGAACATCGTTCAACTGCTTCCCTTCAATATTTCACTAAGGTTGGACTCTGTCTATGGGACACAGCCTGCACTTATACCCAGACTTTGTCAGACTTTGATAGCATACAT